AGCTAAAAGCTTACTAGCTTCAAACTAACTGATCATCTACTATATTTCAGAAACAATCATTAAAGAGTCTTCATCAATATATGATAACTAATTATTACTATGTTCTTCTTTTTTATCTAATAATAATTTCTATCCTAAATTTAATTTCAATACAAAAATAAGTAACTTAAACTATTGTTAAACCAAAAAGAAGCTAATAAAAAAATTTGACTTCAACAAGTTTCTAGCTAAATTGCCTGATTAATTTCTGGTTATAGCGATCTTCTATAATAGGAGCATTCATAATCACTAAATTCTATCAAAGGCTCTTTAGTATTTTTAAACTTTCATGTTAATATGTTTATCAATTCAGATTATAGCTATTGACAGTCATTGCACAGAGCCTAAATCACACAGTTATGAAAATCAAAAAATCCTGCTAAAATTGGCAGGCTCTATAATATCAGAGATCTAAAAAAAGTGTATTTGTTTAAGAAGGTAATGGGAAAATCATCACATGCAATTGGCTGATTCAAAGTTATTATCAATCTTGATTGTCATTTGGGATATCTCCTGATGCCCACTTTTATAAGCAAAAAGAAAAGGAGAAAAAATGGAAAAACAGCTATAAGAAGTGATGAAAAAAATATTTTAACAAAAAACATCACCATTTAGACTAATAAAAACTGTTTTTTGGAATAAGAGAGTTTAGGGAGAACAAAAAGAGAAAGAAATTTAAAAAGGGAATTTTGTTTTTTGTTCATAGGCTAAGCTGTGGCTATCCTTAAACATATATATTTTTTACATAAAAATTCTTAGTCAAGTGATTGCTAGAAAAAGAATTATTTTTTTGTAATTATTAGATAATAAATTATTTTAAAAATTAAAAATTTGAAAATTTGATTTATATTAATAATTACTAATTTTAAAAATTTCAAAAATTTATAAATATCTATTAATTCATATTATATATAATTTAGTTCTAATTAATAAATTTAATAAAATTCAAATTTGTTATTTTTTATTCAAAAAATGATAAATATAAAATATAATCTTAAAATGATAAAATAACTTAAACTTAATAAAATTATATTTTTAAAATTCTGATAAAGTTATTTTCAATAGTGTTACATGAAAGAAGACAGATAATAATAATTAAAAGAATAATATTGATCCCTAGAAAATCATAAATATCTTATATGTCTTTTATATTATCTATGACATATACAGTAATAATCATAAATAATGCAACAAAAAAATAAAATCCTTTAAATTTAAATATTTCTTTCAATTCTAAAGATATTCTGCCCTCTTTAATAAATTTTTATTTATTAATACCATTATTTTTCAGTATTAAATTTTTAATATCCATTAATAATTCCATTATAAAATAATATGCAAGTAATATAAATTATATGTTGCATTATTTTTGATTGTTTTTAATATGAATCAGATGATTATTATTATGCTACATAAAATTATATAAAAAAGTATTTTTTTATTTATTGTTTATTTCCGTAAAATGTCACAATTATTTAATAAATGAGTAGTAGTAAAAAAGCATTACACGACTAATGAAAGATCATAAATTCTTCTTTCATTACAAAATAGACATACAACTAGAGAAGTAGCAAAGGTTCAAAAAATTGCACCTTTTATAGTTTTTCATATTAGAAAAGATGGCTTAAAACTAACTCTTTTGAAAACTTAGCAAGAACAGGTCATCCACCTACTGTAAATAAACTAATACAAAGAAGGATTGTTAACCTTATTACTTCTTAAAGGTATTCATCAGCTATTGAAGTATAAAACTAACTATAAGAAAAAGAAAATCTAACTTTTCAATATCTACTATTTGTTGTGTACTTCAAAATAATGGATTAGTAATAAGGGTTAAAAGAAAAATACTATATCTTAGTAAAAAATATAAAAATCTCGATATAATCTACAAAAAAGTATGAAAATTAGACTGTTAAAGACTGGTTAAAAATAATATAGTTTGATAAATCAAAATTCAAGATTTTTGGTTTTGATGAGAAGCAGTATTACTGAAAGCATCTTGAAGAATTAATAAAAAACTACTATATTAAATATACAGTAAAATTTAGAGGCAAGTTAATTATGATATGAGAATGTTTTACATTTCATGATGTTAGTGATTATTGTAAGATAGCATCATAAATGTTAACTTGTATCAATAAATTTTATGATGATTTAATGGACACTATCAAGGCATATGATTTTACTGTTAAAAATATTATTTTTCAACATAATGGAGATTCAAAATACACAGCAAATTCAATAAATAGTGGTTTAAGAAAAAAAAGGTAACGGTCTTAGATTAGCCACCCCAATTTCTGAATCTGAACTCTATTGAACATTTATGAAATGAGGTTGACTGTCGGCTAAAATATATTTCTAGACAAATTTCAAGTAAAGAGAACTTATAGAATAAGATACAGCAGGTTTAAAAAGAATTTGATGTTGAAATTTGTATTAACCTAATTCAGTCTATGCTAGTAAGGATTCATAATATTATTAAGGCTTAGGGAGGGTATATAAGGTAATAATTGTGTTAAATATATTTTAAAAAAGAATAATGTTGTAATATATTAATTTGGGATGTATTAATTGTTATTTGAGTTATGTTAAAAATGAAAATAAATAATACAATAGCATTATCTGAATAATTATATAGTTTAAAAAATAATTTACTTATTAATTCATGTTTAAATTTTAATTTTTGAAAATAATAATATTAATAATTAAAATAATAAAAAAAAAATTAGTTATTTTTGTAATTACAAAAATATTTTGTTTTAATGAAATTATTTTTTATTACATAATTTATAATTATCACTGTACTTCTTTTATACAGTATATTTTATTTTCTGCAAATTTTACTATTAATCTATTAAGCTTTTTTAGTATATATTTATATAATAAAATATCTTTATTTCATATCAATGAATATTATAAATAAAATAAAAGTAATAGTTAATAAAATAGTTCTTTATAATCTTATTTATAAATAATTACAATTTGACTAACTAAATTTTTTAGCTGCATTCTCAAAAATTCTTAATATAATTAAATTTATAATAAAATTTAAAATAAATATGATTTAATGTCTAATTTATAATAATCTTTTATAATCTTTCCTTTTATACTGAAAAATTTAGTTATTAATTTATTAAATTTATGCTTCTTTAAATTTTAATTCTTTATTTAATCAAAATTACCTTTCTATTAGAATTTGCTTTAACCTTTTTGACTGTTTACACAATTTAGAAATATAATAATTAAGATTGCTAAAGAAATCTAAAGGTTTTGTAATAGTAAAAAGTAGAGTTTAGCAAATTATATTAAAATCTTATTAAAAATCTACAAAACTTTAGAAAAGATAGAATTATATCAATTAAAGCTTATAAAAATGTAAAACTATATCATTACTTTAATAAAAAAAATAAAACTAGAGTTTAAATAATTTATTAAATCCAAAATGAGTTTAAACAAGCAATTTTAATGATAATCTAACGAAAGTTCATTTTTTGTTGAATTTTCTTATTAAAATACATGTTACATATTTTTAATTTACTTCTACTAGGCTAAGATACATATATTTGACAATTAGTATATTTAATAAAAAAGTAGTATAATTTGATATATTATTAAATGTGAATAAAGTCTAATATTCTAAAAAGCATATTTTGAATATAAAAAGCTAAGGTTATTAAACAAAACTTAAAGATTTAATAAGTTATCTAAATGATAAAAAAGTAAAATTTAGAAAAATTATATTAAAATCTTATTAAAAATATAAAATTCAAAAAAAAGTAAAATTATAAAAGTTTAAATGTTTTGTCAAATCCAAAATGAGTTTAGATAAACAATCTTAAATAAGTTATATTATCTTTATAATTTATAATAAAAATATATAAAAAGTAAATCTCATTCAAATTTTATTATACTTGTTAAAATTCACATTTTTTTTATAATTACAAAATATTTTGAATATTAATCTATTATTATTATATTATGCATTTCCAATTAGTTCAAATAATAATACAAAAATAATTTAACTATAAAATTAATCTTCTATTTTTCTTTTTATATTTATTTAATCATTTTAATTTTGTCAAATACCTTTTTTTTTTAATATTTATAACATAAAATTTTCTTTAAAATTACAATTGGTTATTTACCATTTTCATATTTTTTAAATTTTAAATCAACTTTAAATAAAATAAATTTACTGATTAGTGATCTGATTAACATGATTAATTAACATATGATAAAAGTAAAGGTGAAAGAGATAGAGGATAAATATTTGAGATATTATAAAATCACATTCTTTGAAAATAAAATGTTATTTTTATATATTAACAAAAAAATGGTATAAATTATGAAAAACTTAGCATTTTGATAATTTCAAAAGAAAGTTTATTAATTAGAATACCGAAAATGAAATGCTGTTTGTTATATTACCTTTGCAGTGCCAGCAACGAAATGTACACGAGGAAAATGTGTCATAAAATTTGCGCATGAATAATAGCTAAAATATACCTAAATAAATTCTTTCAAAATATATGCTAAAGTTCAATTGATTACAAATATTTTTTTTTTTCTAAAATTGGTATTTTGTATATATTATTGCATGTAATTTATTATCCTAAGTAACATAAAAATAAAATATCTGAATACGGAAAAAAAAGAACGTAACTTTCCTTGAAAAGTAACAACGTTAAAACGTTATCATCAAATGAACGTGAGGTTGGATCACGGGCCTTTTTGAGGATTGTTTTTTTTTTTAATCTTACAAGAAATAATTTTAGACACCAGCAAATGTCCATAAATGACAAACATCTATAAATTATAAAAAAAGAAAAACGAGGTAATACTAAACTTATGTCATTACGACTGAGAAAATTTTTAAAAATTCTCGAGCAAAAGAAAATATTTAAAATAACACGATTTTAGTACATTTAACTGAAAAAATTCTTTAAATTACTAATTTAACTTCATTTAACTTCTACGACGTTCATATCTATCATCATCATATTTTCTTTTTCGATCATAATCATAGCTACTACGACGATCCTTACGATCGCGACTAGAACTTCGATGTCTTCTGTGACGCTCACGACTCCTACTACGTCGACGGTCACGGTCACGATCGCGATCGCTATCTCTAACCCTATCACGATCTCGTCGACTACGTTCATATTCATAATCTCGAGTTCGATGAGATCTTGGTTTATCAACACTGCGACTACGACTGTGTCTATGTTCTCGTTCTTCGTCTTCACGTCTTAGTGAACGTTCTGCAGAAGGTATCTTTGGTTCATCATATGTAGGCGATTCCCTTCTAATTTACCAATTAAATGATGAATTGAAATTGTGTAAGATTTAACAATGAAACAGACTTTACGTTGTATTGTAAAAACTTATATCTCTCATATTTATTCTTTTTTTTTCTACCTCATTCCTCAGGAAAATCAACTTATTATATCCAAGTCGCTTTTTTTGCGTTTTAAGGAACTAATGTGTAACCTGATAACAAAAACAAATAATATAAAAAATCGACATTTAATAAAATTAAAAATGCCTACCTTGGCTGAGGGGGAGGTTGTGATCTCTCCTTCAATTTTTGTTCGATATCACGAGCGATTGGTACTGGAATACGAGGTAAAATAGTTCCGAGCCATTTTTGATCTGTTAACAATTGGCGACACATTTTACCTATATTTCTGATATAAGCCCGTTAAAGTAATTAATATTCTTTATAATTTATAATAAGTCAAAAAGGCAATAAACGAATTCATCATAATCATGAATAACTCACGATTAACTTGTAGTGTACGATTAATACTCCATAGGAGATACATACATAATGACTGGACGAGAACCGCCTTGAACTTGGACATCCTCTTCATCGTCTAAATATTCTTCAAGCCAGTCCCATAAATGAACTGGCTTACATACGTAACGAAGGTAAAGAAATCCCAACGCGCGTATATGTCTAATAACAGTTATTAATATTCAATATGATATACCTTTTATATGAAAATAATAGCGAACCATACATACGGAGAATCGGTATGTTGAATCAAACCATTAATTTGTTTTACCGTTAATCGTAAAGTCCAAAGCTTGTAAAGCAAACAAAAGGCTGTAGACGCAGTTGTTCCTTTAAGGAAAGGTTCTATCAAACCAAAAAAAGTTATTCAAAAATTATTGAGTCTGCATTGAATATATGGTACGAACAAATCCGGTAATAAAGTAAATATTTTGATGTTGTTTACCTACCAAGAGACTCAACTAGAATTATAAAGAGTAAATAACTATAATCAATAACGTGTTGATAAGATCAAAACCAAGTAAAATGGCTTACCGTGATTATAAATTTCATCTATAACTTCATGATAAGTTTTCAATTCACTAGTAAAATAAAAACAAGATTAACGTCTAATTCATTAGTACAAATTGAGACCAACATACTCACTAAAGTTGTTTGAAATAAGGTGAAGCTTGAATGTTTTGGTATAAAATGTTGTTCAAATTCATGGTCATTTCATTTCCCCAAGTTTCCAATTTATTTGATTGCTTCATTTTTCCCTCTTTTTTTTTTTCTGTGAATAAGTGAACTGACCATGAGATTTTTATACTTTGTGGAAATCATTGGCCAATCAAATGATGTGAAGAAATTCCGCAGATTTTACATTACTATAAAAAAAAAAAAAAAAAATTTTTTTTTTTTTTGTTTCAAAAATTTTTATTTTTTTTTGCATTATGAGAAGCGTTCCAAAAGAGTTAACATTGCGAGATCATCAGATCGGTAATTTCATATTTGTATTATCTTTTCAATTGTTTTAGCATATCGAAAGATAATATTTACTTTAAAAATAAACAGAGGCGATTGTGACGATGCTCAACCTTAACACCAAACCAGAAGTTGCAGTTGTACCAGCATCATCGGAGAATACGGCAATTCCTTTAGCAAATAATGAACCGGTATGGAAGGTTTTGATATTTGACGAATTTGGTCGGGATATCATTTCTTCTGTCCTTAAAGTTAACGATTTACGCGAGAACGGTGTAACTGTTCACATGTATGCATATTTAATCTTGGGAATCTTTCATTGTCGTTAACTCATAAATTAACGTGTTTCTAAACATGACTCAGTTTTTCAATGGTTTGATGCTTTGTATAGGTTGTTAAGAAGTGAAAGACAACCTATCTCAGATGTTCCTGCGATTTATTTTGTCGAGCCGACATCGGAAAATATACAAAGAATTAGTGAGGTTTGGACACGAGCTAATTTCTTCATTTTTTGATTTTATATTATGATGGTTTTAAAACGGGTTTCCGAAATTTAGGATTTGGCCAAAAACCTATACGAATCCTATTATATTAATTTTTTGACAGCTATTTCACGACCTTTACTTGAAGAGTTAGCGGCTACCACAATATCAAATAACACATCAAATTTGATCTCGCAAGTCTACGATCAATACCTAAATTTTATTGTCTGTGAACCGAACCTTTTTTCTTTAAATCAGCCAAACATTTATTATTCGTTAAATGATCCAACCACCGCGGAAACAGCTATAGAGCGAGCAATTGACCGCACGGTTAGTTCTTTATTCTCCATGTTAGTCACCATGGGAGTCATACCAATTATTCGTTGTCCGAGAGGAAATGCTGCAGAAATGATTTCACAAAAGCTTGATAGTCGATTACGAGATCATGCATTAAATTCACGAAACAATCTATTTTCGGAAAGCTCAACATCCCTAAATTTTCAAAGGCCTGTACTGATAATTCTTGATAGAAATATTGATCTTGTTCCAATGTTGAGCCATTCTTGGACCTATCAAGCATTGATTCATGATGTCTTGGACATGCATTTGAATAGAATTACCATTGAAACAGATGAAATGGGACGAAATATAAATAGAAGTTACGATTTGAATAGCGAAGATTTCTTCTGGGCAAAGAATGCATCAAGTCCATTTCCACAAGTGGCTGAAGATATTGACGTGGAACTCAATCGTTATAAGAATGATGCTGCTGAAATTACTAAACTTAGTGGAGTAAACTCATTGGATGATATGGATCAAGTTAATTTTTCTCAAAATACTCAACATTTAAAGTCAGCCATCACAGCTTTACCAGAGCTTACAGCACGAAAACAAACATTGGATATGCATATGAATATCGCAACATCTTTATTAAAAGGGATTAAAGAACGTCAACTTGATACGTTCTTTCAAATGGAAGAGTCTATAACTAGACAAAATAAATTAGCGGTGTTGGAAGCTATTAGAGATCCCGAGAAAAAGTCTCCAGAGGACAAACTAAGATTTTTTATAATTTATTATTTATCGGTTGAAGAAGTTCCTAAGGATGATATGGCTGAATATGAGGATGCATTGAGTTCTGCCGGTTGTAACTTAGATGCATTGAATTATGTTAAAAAGTTGGTCTATTTTTTTTTTTTTTCTGTTTATATTTATTTCATAACCGAAATTAATATTTTTTCTTTGCGTTAATCAAAGAGTACGTGAAATCACTAGGATGACAATGATGACAACTATGACTCCTCAAAGCTCTGGTTTTGGACAATCTAGTCAACTTTTCCAAGGATTTAGTTCTATAGGAAATAAGGTTCAATAAAGATCATTTATTTATTCAAAAGTCAAGAAACAGAATACAACTTGATTAGTATTTTATTTCTAGCTTTCGGATCGATTGAAAGAAGGAGGCTTTGACAATTTATTATCTGGTGTCAAAAATTTCTTACCTACTCGTAAAGATTTAACTCTTACGAAAATTGTAGAATCTATTATGGAACCGTCTGCAATTGGAGCAAATGAGACAGAAGATTATTTATATTTCGACCCAAAGATGGCAAGAAGCTCTAGCGTAAATAAACAAAATAGAAATAGACATTCTTTCCAGGAAGGAATGGTGTTTGTAGTTGGCGGTGGGAACTACATTGAATATCAAAATTTACAGGAATATGCACAGGTAATTTACATCTTATAACGTACATCTTATGGTTTCTTGATTTTATCGATTAACTTTGTCCTCTACAGCGACAGGCTATCAAGAAAAAAATTATTTATGGTTCTACGCAACTTTTGAATCCTCATGCATTTTTACAAGAACTTGCTAAACTTACTTAAGTTCTATATTATATCTTAGTAGATAAAGCAATAATAATTATGGTGATGGAATTTAATCAAAATAATAATGTATTTTAATTATTTTTATAATATTTTCAATTTATCATGTAATAAGCTTATTTATTTCTTGGATTATGTTAAAAGTGAATTTGAGAATGGAGTAATATAAGATCTTGTCTAAATTAGGTAACTTACTTGAAATATTAATGTACCAAATGATCATAAGTTATCATTAATAAATGTAGTTATAAAGCTGCATTAGAACCTAGAAAGATTACAAGTTAACTGTAATTGATAGTGTGTATTTTATTAGGTATGCTTCTTAATATATCTGAAGAGTCATAAGTTAAATAATTTGCAAATACAATTAATAATGTGGATTTATTAAATGAAGTTCATTTATTACAAAGTTGATAATTGGCTAACAAACATCATATTTTTCACATTTTAGAATTAGAACCTTCAATAGCATCATCCTCATAAACTTCATGAAAAATTAAGTTTTGTTCCGCTTCGATTTCATCAACAATTTCAACTTCTTCAGACTTGTTTTCTCCTTCATTATCTTCTTCTTCATCCCAAAATATAAAGGACATTTCAGTCCTTGGGAAAGCCGTATGAGAATTAACATACTTAACAAACCTTAAAGTACCAGCCGTCCTTATTGTAATGCTTAACGTATTTCTCTGTGGATGAATAGCCAACAATTCCTGCTCCTCAGCAACATAATGAGTACCACCTTCCCAATTTTTATCCCATTCTCCTTCAATACAAAATAATGTAACATCTACTCCAGCTCTATCTTGAGCTTGATCATGAATTAAAGTATAATCACCGGGTTGAAATTGTCGAAATTCTGATGCAATACCTGCAACTTGCCAATTTGAAATTTCATTAAGGTAAACAGCAAAAGGTTTTGACCTAAAGAATTCATAAACATATTTACAAAAATCTATTAGAGATTTTCTATAATCTTTGATCTCAATGTTTTCAAAATCTTTAAAATCAACGATTTCCGAATCTTTAAGAAGATGATATCTTCTAATAAAAGCCGGACCTGTTGGTTTTTCCTCCCATCCAGTTTCTTTTATACTTTTCATTAATTTTTCAAAAACATCATCCCGCAAAAAGTCTGGCAAAAGAACATAAGAACTTTTATGTAGACTATCTAATATTCTTTGCTTATTGCTTTCATTCAAATAAACAGGACTTATAATATCACTTAAATTAAAATCTTCTGGGGTAGGTGATAAGAAATCCGTACGTGATAATCTAGTGTTTAAAGGTCCATGAAACCATCCAGAAATTGAATAACGAACTTTCGTTGAAGATAAAACTTCAGATACTTGATGAAAAGAAGTAGGACTAAGTACAAAGAAAGCCATTTGATTCCATTTTGGTATAATAGAAAGGGTTACTTCATCTGGATGTCCTTGAGAATTTCTAATAGTAGAGGAAATAATAATAATAATAATTATGAAAATAAATTATCAAAAAAAAATACAATATCAGAATTGTTTGTTTGATATTTACGTATTAAATAATTCCAAGGCTCCACCATCTTCTTTCGACCAATCTTTATCAACAAAATAAATAATAAAAGCTATCCTTCTCCCATGCATACAATCATCATCTTTAATATCATCATCATGACATAAAAGATAATTTCCTTTTTCATACTTATGAGCAGATAGATCAGGGGTATAATCTAAATCAATTCCTACTAAATCAGACATGGTTCGAACGAAAATATCGGAATAAATGGCATCACGTAATCTCGAAAGGTAAGGTTTATCACAAATTCTTAAATCCGAACTTTGATGAAATTCATAGAGATCATTAGATTTATGATTAAAATCTAAATTTCTAATTTCATCTTTGACATGAGAAAGAAATTCATCATCAAAAATATTTGGTAAAATTGCGGCAGTAAACGGGGAATTATAAACCACTGCATGTGAAGTTTCATCAGTAAATTCCTGGTTTTTTTTAAATGCAAAACAAAATCTTCTAATAAATTCTGGATCCGTATAATTGAGATTTAATATATCTAGTAATTTTTCTTTTATTTCATCATCTCCATTTTTATCTGTAACAGTGTAATTGTTATTAAAACCCTGTTCTCCTCCTTGTGTATTGTCCAAAGTTTCTATCGGATTTTCTAAATTTGAAATACTATTATTATCTACGGAAATTTTATCAAGTTTTTGTTTCTTGCATTGTATAATCGCCTCTTTATCTTCTAACTCTAGAGAAGTATGCTTATTCAAAGTTGACATTATTGAACAAAGCTTTCAAAGGTATTTTAGTCGAATTTCAAAATTGATTATCTACATAATCACGTGATTAAATCATGCCATTTCGACATTTTATCATAAAATTATTTAAATAATTACAGGAATAATTATTAAAACATTTAAATTTTAAAAAGTAACAATATACATATTTTTATGTAAAATTTATTAATTTATAAAAATTTTGTAATATATATATTTTAAGCTTTTTTATAACTTCAAATTTTCAAATTTAAATTATATAAAGAAAAATATTATTTTAACATTTAATTTCTAGCAAATTTATCAGAAAATTATATTAATATTTAATCTTACTAAAATATTAAGTTTTTAACTTTACTTAAAATATATAATAAAATTTTATTATAAAAATTATTATTAATTAAATTTATAGATAAGGGACGAAACCCCTTAATAACAGTCGAAACTTAGACGAAACTATATTAAAATCATAATAAGGGATACGACGAAACCCATTCGATACGACGAAAGCCGAAACTGTCGAAACTATATTAAAAACATAGAAAAGGGTATGACAAAATTATTTTGAGGAGGTTTCGGCAGGCATCTATAATTAAATTATAATTAATATATTGTAATCAGATTATTATATTACAATTAATCTACATAATATAGCATATAACTTTGATATATCATACATATTATATATTTAATATAGTTAATAAAGTTAATATAGTTAATATTTTAATATTAGCAACCTAAACAATGTCCTAGTTTAATTCTAAAAATTTTTTAATCTTTGATATAAATATAATTTATTTATCTGAATACTTAGTAAAGTCATGTAATTTTGATTTTTCAATTCACATAATATTACAATTTTAAAATTGATCTACAGATCCAGAATTTATTAATGATTATATTTTATTAATAAAAAGTTTATATATAAATTTTATGCTATTTGATTGTTCAATCTTTAAGAAAATAAGGCTATACAAGATAAATTCTTTGACCTATCTATATCAATTTACAAAAATTCAGATTTTTTTATAATAAAATTTTTATTATATAACTTATATAATAAATCACTATATTAGTAAAAGAAAGATTTATATTAATTTATATAATATAAGATTTATTTATATAATATAGAATATAACTATCATATTAATAATATATATAAATATTTTATATATAAAAAAGAAAAAAAACTGAATAACTATATTAATTTTAAAATTTTATTACAAAAATCTAAAAATTTTCTTTGTTTGGTCAAATTATTTCAAAATCATTTTAACTCTATTAAAATATCTATTATACATATAAAAATAAGTTATAATTCTAAAATTATAAAATATTAGAAAGATTTATCTATTAAAAAAAAAATAAAAATAAAAGATTTTTTTAGAAATATATTAATTCTATATTATTATCTGATTAGTAAAAAGCAGATTATAAAGTGAAATTTAGCTTATCAAAAAATTAGTTAATAAAAATATTTCAGCATAATGTATTACTTGAAAAGCTATATGACAATATAGATTTATATATATTTTTACCTTATATCATAAAAAATAACAGAATCACATAAAATTCTATTAATATTAATACTTTTGATATTTTAAGGGTTAATTCAAATAATATATTTATTTCAAAATTTAATGATAGTTGAAAAAGAAAGGATGCTGCATAAAATAATTTGTAACTGATTTAACAAGTATATTATAATATATTGTAAAAACTTTAAATCAAAAGTTAAAGATCCCTGTAATTTTTTTTGAATTTTTAAAAAATCATTTTCTAAGAATTATAAAAACTTAAGACTAAAATTTTATTTTGAAAATTTAACTTAGTATAATAAAAAAAAATATTTAATTATATTAAATTAAATTAAATATTATAAAATAAATTTAACTGGTTAAAATAATTATTAACTAAATTTGATAAAATTTTAATTAAATATTCAGAATATTTAAAATATTAGCAAATTCAAAATAATAAAATAAAAAATTTATTGTTTTTTATAGTTGATGAAATAGAAGTAGATCTATTAAAATTTTTTAGCAAATATTTTACGTAATCAAATAAATATATTCCTTAAATTATTTAGCAAGAAAATTTGCTTGCGAACTTAAATAAATATGTTATTTTTTTAATAAAATATTAAATATTAATTTTAGTAATATAATAATTATATAAAAAATATAGTTTAATATATATTTAATTAATTTTATTAGAAGAAATTTTAAGTTTATAAGATATTTTTTAAATAATTTAATTTTTAAATTTAAATTTTGAAAAATTTATTATAATAATTTTTTAAAAAATTTTTTAAAATTTATATGTTGCGAATTAATTAAATTATTTTACTACCAATAAAAGTATAAATTTTAATATTTTTAAAATTTGAATTTTAAAAATAAACTTGTATAAATTTGTATTTTAATTTGTAAAATTAATTTAAAATGAAGTAAAAGATTATATAATTTATTATTAATATACAATTCTTATAAATTATGATAGTTAAATAGATATTCAAGTAGTAAATTTTTTAATTTATATAGCAATTTAATTATATAAATAATACTTTAATATTATTAGTAATTAATTATAAGTAAAGTTCAATTAATCTAAAAATTATCAGTTTAAATTAACTTTTAGATTTTCTGATTACAATAAAAATCAATTTAAAAATTTTTAATTTAATTCAGATTTTTTTTCAGATTATAAATCTAATTTAAATTAAAAAATTTAAACTAAACTAAATATTTAAATTAATTTAAAATTTTAATAGTTTATTTTAAATAAATATAGTCAACTCTGTTATAACGAATTCTATGTCCTAGACCTCAACTTTACTATAAGGCTATAGTAAAGATTTTAAAAGATTTGATTAGCTAATTCGCTATAACAAGAGTATTTTTATTATATTTGTTCAAAAAATTCATTATATCAAAAGTTCGCTATATTAAGAGTTGACTATAATAAAATGTTATTCAATTAGAATAATTAAAATTATCATTTTAAATGAATAATAAGAAATTATTTATTTAGAATGATAATAATATTATTTTAAATGAATAATAAAAAAATTGATTAATTAAAATAATTTAAATTATTATTTCAAATAAACAATAAGAAATCATTTATTTAAAATAATAATAATATAATTCTAAATGAACAATTTTTTTATTATTCTAAATAAATAATTTTCTTATTATTTAAGAGTTAATTTAAGAAAATCAAAGTTTAAACTTAATAAATTATTAGGATCAGACTTTGATTTTCTTAAATTAGCTTACATTTGTTTAAATGATATTATTATTATTTTAAATAAACAATTCTTTTATTATTTATTTTAGAATAAAATTATTATCATTCTAATTAAAATAATTTTTTTATTATTTATTTAGAAAAATCCATCTAAAATTTCAGTTTAATCTGATATTTTCAGTTCAGTTCAGATTTTTACTAATTTAAAATTAAGACTAGTATTTTTAAGATTAATAATATAAATTAAACTGAATTAAAATTTTTAGTTCAGATTCAGATTGATCTATAATCTAGGCTAAATTAAATTATTTAAAGTATTAATTATAAATAAAACTAAGTAACTGATCAGTAAAAGATATATAATTAAATGCATAATAGACAAATATAGTAAATAAAATTGTATTAATTCAAATAATAAGTAAGCAAACAGATTAATAAATTTATTAAGTTATATAGTATTTAATAATTCTTTATTTATACTTTAAACTAATAATTATAAAAATATAAAGACTTTAAATTATGTTAATTTAAAAGTATTTTTATTAATAAGTAAATATAAAATAAAAAATAAAATAATAAGGTTAAAAGTAAAGAAACTAAAATAAATTAAGTGTAAATTAAAAAATATACTATAGACTAATTACTATATTTGTACTAAATAACTACTAAGAATAGAATATCAACTTATTTTTTTTTACATACTTTTTAATTTTATATTTATATAAAATTAATTACATAGAAAAAATATATTATGTATATATAAAACTAATTAATTAAATATATAAAATATATTAATTATATTAATATTAAATATGTTAAATATATTAAATATATCAATCATATTAACTATATTAAATATATTTAATATGTTAAATATTTATATTCTATATTATATAAATTAATTATATTTTTATTATCTACTTAATAATTAAGTTTATAATAATTAGTTTTTGCAATTATATAAAAGTTTAAATAACATAAATACCAGTATGAATTTTTAGTTAAGATTATTTTAAACTTAATAATAATTCTATTTCTAAATTATAAAATTTTTGATTAATTATAATCTAATAAAAATAAAATTTTAACTTAAATTAATTTACTTTAATTTATTAATAAATATAAAATTTTTATTAGTATATCTATTTTAATTTTTTTTCTTTTATGTAGATTTTATATATAAAAAAATATAATAAAAAAAATAATCAAATTTTTAAATTTTTTAAAATAATAAAGAAAATTATATAAAAATTTCAAATAATTTCTTAAGAAATTTTTATTAAAGTTAATATAATTAAAATAATATAAATTTATTATTATATATACAAGTTAAAATTAGAACTATCAAATAATTTTAAATCACATAATTACCTTCTTTTTTTCATTAATCTTTTATTCTAAAATTAGTATAAATCAAAATAATGATGTAACAATTAGGCTAGAAAAAATTAGATAATTCTAATATAAATATCAAATAGATCTATATAATATAAAATAATTATATATATATCATGTATATTATCATTCAATTCTCTTGAAAGAGAATACATGTAGTAAGAAAGAAATTACTTCTGCAATAGGTCTTTTTAGAATAAATGATCAAATGAATAACATATATAATATATTTGATAAAATTATTGAATTTTCAAATAAATTATGGTTAATTTACTTATAATACTAATTTTGATATAAAAACTATTTACTAAAAAATCCTTGAAAATATCAATTATAATTATTTAGCTGACGTATTT